CAATTTCATTTTTTCCTTTGATTAAAAAAAGTCAATTACAGTTGACATACAATGTTTCAGGCATACAACATAATGGTTAGATATTTACATAACTTATGAACTAATCTCTGATAGATCTAGGACCTACCTGTTCCATACATAGTTATTACAATATTATTGACTACATTCCTTATGCTGCACTTCCTTGTGCATCCTTGTGCAGTTCATTCTTTATATGATATCCAGATAGCAGCTTCTTAGTTAGTATCCTTAAAAAAATCAGTTTTCTTTTGTGAGTCCTGCTTGGTATTTGCTCTGCTTCAGTGAGCTGTTCAGCAGCTCTTGTATATCCTGCTACTTATTATCCATTCTCCAATATATTAAGCCCCACAGAGAGTTGTGAAAATATTCACTTCGGCACAGTGATAATCTGGCTGTATTCCATAATTCTGTTCTTGTTGGTCTTGCTCTGATTCTTGATATAAGTGTGACCTACACAGGCTGTAGATAAAACAATAATGTAGGCTAGAGATGATAGCTATCTATGAGAGCCTCAGAATTGTACGAAAATTGAATTGAACACTGTATTGGTACTCTTCTGCCTTCGTCTGGTTTTCTATTTTTCAGTTTGTACACTGTTATAAAATTTACTGCTTGAGTGTGTTCTTTACTTTTTACTATGCATAATCAAATGCTAATACAGCTGACCCTTGAACATAACAGTTTGAAGTGCACTCGAACACTTTTATGTGGGTTTTTCCCATAGATGCCTGTACTGTTTCAGATGTAGAGGGCCACTGTATGTATTTATCTACAATGCTCTATATAGGGGACTTACGTATCCCTAGATTTTGGCATTTGCGGGGGATCCTGGAATCAGTCCCCCACAAATACTGAGGAACAGCTAAGTTTTGGGGAAGTCAAAAGTTATGCTTGAATTTTCAACTGCTCGATGGTCGGCATCCCAACCCCCTGCATTGTTCAAGGGTCAACTGTATTATATCTAGTGCCAGGTACGTATCCAGGGAACATTTGAATAAAGAAATGTTGACTAAATGTTCATCACTTTTCTTATTTGTTGTTTCCATTCAAAGGATTAGAATGGGTTTCTCTAGCCTTAGCTGGTTTGGCTCAGTGGATAGTGCATTGGCCTGCAGACTGAAGGGTCCCAGGTTGGATTCCGGTCAAGGGCACATGCCCGGGTTGCGGGCTCCATCCCCGTGCAGGAGGCGGCTGATCAATGGTTCTCTGTCATCATTAATATTTCTCTCTCTCTCTCCCTCTCCCTTCCTGTCTGAAATCAATAAAAATATATTAAGACAAAAGGGGTTTCTTTCGGTTGAATTTTTTTTTCCTTTTTTCTCTGTTGTGTTTGACCTATAAAGTCACATCGTCAGGTGCAAGCTGAATTATTCTCCCATGAAGCCTCTCGACTTCCTGAGCTGATTTTATTTGCTGCATTGTGTTTTCTGTGTCTAGTCCTACATATCTTCATGATATTACCTTCTCTTAGCCTACTTGCTTTTCCATTTGCTACTCTTGACTACTTTGTTCTTTTTCTCTCTAACTTACGTCGTCAGTCATTTTATTTAATGTGTATTTCTTTCATCCTTTATATATCCTCATGCAGCTATTCTCAGCGCCACCGGTTTGTTTCAGATTGTTTTGGTTTATCAGCTGATTTTTAGTTTATAAATTCATTAGCATTTATGAGCACCCCTATTTACATTTAACTTAGATTAAAAGGATCAAAGGAGAGGTAGCTATACCAAAAATAATAGCCTCCGGCTGTTTATATTTTTAAGTGGCACATCTTCCTTAAAATTATCATTATTTGAAAACGGCAAATCCTGAATTTATTTGCATGAATTTTGATTGTACCTATAGTCTTAAAGAGGTAGAAGAGTTTTTAAGATTTCTAAAACACATTTTGTTGTAAGGTCTCATCTCTAGTTTTATCTTCAAGGTCACTTAGAGATATGTCATCAGTAGGAAATGTGCTTTTGGGATGTTTTCCAGTAGTGGTGATGGATTGTGTCCAATCACACATTCTTACATTTCCCTTGTGACTGACCGTTGGTGTGTCTTCTGAGGCAGCTGGCTAGGATTAGTGGTAGAAACTATAGCTACAGAACGAAGTGAAGCTAACAGGTTGACCTCCAATCTCGCTCTTATTATTAGCACCTTGAGCCAGACATTGAATGTACTGGTAGCCTAAAAATTATTTATTTCCTTATTCCAGGACTCTAACAGAACTTCAAAGTCCAGTATTACTATGAGCTAATCAGTATTGTGTAGATTTCTTGAAAGCACATTTAAAGAGATTAATTGCTAATCAAAAGTATATAAATTAATACTAAAGCTGAGATTGGGACCCATATACATTTTTTTTCCTCCTCTGCTATCATCAGTAGTTTTCTATTAATGTAGATCCATAGTCCCTTGACCAGTAGTGTCAGCATTTCTTGGGAATTTGTTAATAATATAAACTCCCTGGTCCCACCTCAGATCTAACTGAATCAAAAACTCTGGAGCCCACAGTTTGTTTTAGCAAGCAAGCCCTCCAGGTGATACTGATGCATGGCAATTTTGAGAACCACTGCCTTCAATCTGTTACTAATTGTTGCCTAGTAACTCCATCAATATTAGTGGAAATGGACTAAGATCTATGTTAGAACTAACTACTGTAAGCCTATTACGTGAGAGTATTGTTGTAAAATATTGACTGAAGTAGTAGAAAATAAAAGTCATCTCTTGTAGATTAATTATATCTGATTGTTAGGGAATTTCCCTAGCTCTTTTCTTTCTCAGCCACAGATAACACAAAGCAAGAATACATGTATTGGGCTTTTTCTTAAAAATAGATCGTTGGTGACATACATTAGTGGTTACATGCATTTGAAAAAAGTGTTATGAAAAGGTAATTCAGGACATCACCTGAACTAGTAAAGCTTGGATTATGCCCAAGGGAAGGAAATAGCCCAGATACAGATGTCCAGAAAGCACTAAGTTTGTTTTGGAAAGCTACCAGGTTAATGCTATTGTATTCAGAATCTCCAGGGCCAAAGGTGGCATGGGATTCAGGAGTTGACCAGTGGAAATTTTCTAGATTTTCGAATAGAATATTTTCCCCTTTTAAGGAAATTAGTTTTGATTAGGTAAAGCCTTACTTTGTGCCTACTGTATGATTTAAATCAGTTACAGTGGTTTTCAACCTTCCTAATGCCGTGACCCTTTAATACAGTTCCTCGTGTTGTGGTGACCCCCAACCATAAAATTATTGTTGCTACTTCATAACTGTAATTTTGCTACTGTTATGAATCGTAATGTAAATATCTGATATGCAGGATGTATTTAGGCGACCCCTGTGAAAGAGTCGTTCAGCCCCCAAAGGGGTCGCGACCCACAGGTTGAGAACCGCTGGATTAAAAGCTATTGAGAGGCTATAGTCAGGGTTGGGAGTGATTTTATAAGCTGCTGTCCACAGGAAGTCAGGTTAAAAATGGAACTATTAAAAAAAGAAAAGATTGGTAAAAGGTTATTAAAATTAAAGTGATTAGAGAAGATGCCCTCGTAATGAAAATAACCTCAATTCCCTTCCCTGTAACTTTATTACACAGAACTAATTGTGTTTATCTCTCTTAATGTGTTTCTGTATATGCATCAACATTGTCATCACTGTAGACCATTAATGAGCAAGCTTTGTGATTCTTCCCCTGCTCAAGTACATAGTACCCATGGCAGTAATTGCTGATAAATTTTCATTCTTTCAAAGATTCTTACTGGATGTGATTAACTTGTAGGTTCATTAAATACTTTTAGTTTAGATTAAATAAGGGCAATGCATTTTTAATATAATAAAAGTTAACTTAAAATATGTTTTAATCTGTAGATTTCAAAGAAACCTAAATACTGATACTTGGAAAACTTTTTTTTTCCATTTTATTTTAAGTTAGGGTTTAGGTTTAGCAGAGTATAACAGAAAATCCAAACTAACTGTAGCTTAAAATAGAGATCATTTTTTTTAGTACATAAAAGCCCAAAGATATGGTCAGTATAGGTCTGATATAGTAGATCTGAAGTATCAAGGACACAGATTCTTTCTAACTTAATATATCTTACTAGAGGCCTGTTGCATGAAGAGATTCGTACAATAGGCCTTCCCTTCCCTTGGTTGCTGGCACCGGTTTGCCTCTGGCACCCGGGACCCAGGCCTTCGCTCTGGCCGGTCTCCGGCTGGGGCCGGCCCCGGAGTCCTCAGGCTTTGCTCTGCTGGCCCTGGGGCTGTCAGGCTTCGCTGCTCCACTCTGCCGCTTAGAGCCTACGTATGCAAATTAACCGCCGTCTTTGTTGGGTTAATTTGCATAGTCTCCTGATTGGCTGGTTAGCGTAGCGAAGGTATGACCAATTTACATGTTTGCCTATTATTAGGTAAGATTTTACATTCCAGTGTTATTTCATGAACCAAAATTGCTGTTGGAATTCTAACCACTGCATCTTCTCTCTAGTCTAAAGGAAGAATGGGAAGAAGAAAGGCATGCTCTCTCCCTTGAAAGGATACTTTTTTGAAGTCATACAGTCTTTGAAGCTTATGTACAGTTGGTCCCATGGCCATACCTAGCCACAAGGGGGACTAGGAGGCCTTGTGCTGAGGTACGAGTTAGAGGATAAGAATAGGAGAGACTTGAGTATTGGAGGTAATCCACAGCTTCTCCCATTGTATACCAAACGAATCATTTTAAAACAAGAAAGGCATTTTCCAGTTAGGCCGACAACACTTATGCCAGAGACAATCTTAGTTTTGCAAATGCAAGGACCAAAATAGAAAATACACTGAAAGAGAGAGATGATATATTGCAGCAGACAGGAAAAGAGAACTGATGGGCATGCTCCTAAATCCCTTAATACGTATTTTCTCATATAATCCTTATATAAAATAAATAGTATTATTGTTTCCATTTTACAGATCAGAAAACTGAAAATTAGGTTGAAGAGTTTGATGTTTGACCCCAAATCTGTTTAACTCCAGGCTCTATGTGCTGTAGAGAACCTGAAGGTCTGGTGCCCAGGTCTAGGCTAATCTTGGTAGTAAGAGGGCTATCCCAGGGCAGGTTGATTGGGTGGTAGTGACAAGAAAGTGAATTTCCTTGACCACTGCTGAGGAGGAGGAGGATAACGCACACAGTACGGTAGTGAGTTCAGAGTGTCCGTATTTGGAGAGAATTTTCTCTAACTTTGAATGTTTTATTCTTCCTACAGAAAATAGGTTGATTTTGTCTCCTTTGCTTGATGATTAAGAGGATAGTCGCATTGCCATTTAAAAGAAGAGTTTTACATGAACCAGCAGATAAGTTGTGAAGCAAGAAATAAACAAGGTGCTCAAGTTTCCTCCCACCTCCACTTCTCCCTCCCCCACAGGATTTACAGAGTAATTTAGAATATTTTATTGTAGGGCTCCTTAAATATCTGAATTCCCCTAAGTTCCTTTGTGTTTGTTTACAGTTAATGTGTTAAGAGCCATTGACATTTGAATTTGAAGATCATCAGAAGTGAAGATAAAACATCTCAAAAATTATAATGTAAGTGAATCGGAAAATGAAAATAAAAAATGGACAAAATTAATATTGGCAACATTATTTCTGGAATCCATATATTATCCTACATGAAATTTATGCATATAAATAAACAGTAACTACAAACTTTAGTTCCAGTTACAAGTCCCAGTTCTTAAAATTCTGTATTCTACCTGGTGAAAACTATGACTAAGTTTTAGTCATTGGTAATTTTTCATTAGAATTCTTTGGCTTCCATGTAGTGTTTTTTTTCCCTTTTCCTCCGTAGTACTTTGCAGTTTGACAAGGGCTCATGCTATATTTAAAATTGTGTGCAAAAAAAAAAAAAAATTGTGTATAGAGACTGAAATCTTTGCCTTCTAGCTGTTGATGTATGTTTTACCCAATTTTAATTTTACTACAGTTTTTTTATGTTTCTTAGCCAAAAATATGACCAGTTAGTTAGCTGCCTCCTCCCTTCCTTCCCTTCTTTCTCTATCCCCTCCCCTCCTCCCTCCCTTCCTCCCTTCTTCCTCTCTATAAATATTTGTTTAGCATCTACTGTGTTCTGCACAGTATGCTAGATCCAGAATTCCTAAGACCTTGGCACTGAAACAAATGATGTCATCTTTTTATACAGTTATGGGCATAGGAGATTCTTTACTGTGTCTAGGACTTGTAATGTCCTTAGTGTGGCTGAGGCTCTCCTGCTTATTTCAATCACCTGTGGTGCTTGGTGAGCATTGAGCTTCCTAGATTCCAGCCCAGACATTCTGAATCACTGGGAGTGGGCCCCCAAATTTTCACTTAAAGTTTTTAGTAGGCGTATTCTAGTCCAACTCTGTAAGTTTGTTGATGAGGGAACAGATCTAGAGAAATCTAATAACCTACGCTACGGCACAATAAGTGTTAGAAGGCCAGGAAAGATTGGTTTGTTTCCTCCAAAGTCACAGAGCTATTTAGTGATCTCCTGACTTCCAGTTCTAGACTTCACTGTCACTTAGTGATTTTTGTTGGGTCTGACAGCTTCACTGTGTATATATGAAATCATAACATCTGTCATTGTTCCTAAAAAAAATAACTAAAAGCACATATTGATTATGTACATGAGATACATGGACTCTTTCTTCATCTTTAGTTAGTTATGTTACTGATTTTGATTTTGAAATCATTGGGTGGAAAAACCGTGGTAGTCTGGGTAGAGGAAAAATACTTATTCTTTTTTTCCCCATTGCACTATCCCTACTTTTTTTTTTTTAAATATATTTTTATTGAGTTCAGACAGGAAGGGAGAGGGAGAGATAGAAACATCAATGATGAGAGAGAATCATTGATCGGTTGCCTCCTGCACACCCCACACAGGGGATCAAGCCTGCACCCTGGCATGTGCCCTGACCAGGAATTGAACTGGGACTTTTTGGTTCATAGATTGATGCTCACCCACTGAGCCACGCTGGCTGGACTCTATCTCTACTTTTGACCTTTGTATTTTATGCTTCTGAAAAAGAGGGGTCTGAGTTCATTTTTGAATGATGGTAGTAACTAGCATAGTGCTTTGCAAATAGGTGCTTGGTAAATTGTAGTATGAATAGTATGTAGTTTGAACATAGGTAGTATGAAAAAACTTTGTTTTTTCCTTTGGATTCTATGAAATACTGTTAAGAGTAGTTTTATTTGCTTGGTACAGAATCTGATGTTTTATTTACCGAGCCAGAAACCTTAAATGATTGAAGTTATTTCATATTTTTATTACTACATTGTTGTGGTTGATATTCACAGTATCTGAGGGACTGAAATATTCTAAAGTATTTTCTGAACTATAAGTGTGAATAAATTTTGGTGTGTGTGTTTTGTATTTTATTTTGCATAGTATATTAATAGTTAGAGACTTGCCTAAACGTGGAAGTTTTATGAATTTTTAAAATACACTTGAGAAAAAGCAGAATAACATTGTATTTCTATGATGACGGGTGAAATGCTTTGAAAACTGTAGTGTCACACAAATATAATGTATTATGATTACTGCTATGATGATAATATGTCCACTGAGTTTCTTTGTGATTTAATTGAAAATGTTTAGTATTGTTTAATGTAAAATACGAAAAAAAATACACATGCTTGTCACTTGGCTTTTTCTTTTATCAGATCTTATTGAGTCCTTTAAGCACATGGTACTAGAGTAGATACTTCATAAATCACCTGAAGTTCTTTCACTGTGCTAATCTAATCCAGATTGTCACTTAATATACTGTAATTATACAAAATTAGAAGCCCGTTGCACGAAGATTTACACAATAGGCCTTCCTTCCCCTGGCTGCCAGCATGGGTTTCCTCTGGCACCTGGGACCCAGGCCTTTGGTCCGGCCGCAGCAGAGAAGCCAAGCCTTGAGGCTAGGCTTTTCCCCTTCGGCCGCAGCGAGGCTGGGCTTCTCTGCTGCAAACTCTTCAGTCTTCACTCCAGCTGGAGTCTTCAGTCTTCACTCAGCACCTGCATATGCAAATTAACCACTATCTTTGTTGGGTTAATTTGCATAGTTGCTTTGATTGGCTGGTGGGCATAGTGGAGTGACACCAGTTTGCATATTTCTCTTTTATTAGTGTAGATGCCCAGGATGATACTTCTATTTTAGAAGAGTTTTGTCAGCAATTTTCTAAGAAAAAAGTGATTAATGAATGAATAACTGAATGTTAAGTATTATCAGTGTAATCAAAGTAGCTAATAGTAATGTTAACACATTTTGGTTTGATTTTTATAGTTACAAAGCTGTTTAACCTATATCACCTCAGTTATTTCTATAACAGTCTTGTGAGGTAGGACTTCATTTGACAGATGGGCAAATGAAGCTCAAGGGAGTGACACGATTGTCCAGTGTTCCCTGTTTGAAAAGATGGAACCGAAATTTTGACTCTTAAATGCCATCTTGTTTCCACTGTGCAGCATAAATCATAACATGGAAGTGTAGTTCTGGTTTTACTTCTTAACTCTGACTCTGGATTAGTCACTTGATTTCGCTGAGCCTGATTCCCTTATTTGGAAAAAGGGTTTTAAAATGATTGTCTTATCTTTATAGAATTACTAGAGGCCCAGTGCATGAAATTTGTGCATGGGTAGAGTCCTTAGTGGCTGTCGGCTGCCAGCCGGAGCCTCCCTTCCCAAGGTTGGCCGGATGGCCCTGCCCCCTGGTCAAACTCCCAGTCAAGGGGACAATTTACATATTAGGCTTTTATTATATAGGATTATTAGACCCAAACATAATGATTGCTTATAATAATTTATAAAGTTAACAGCTATGTAGTGTGTACCATGTAGTTGGCACTGGTTTAAGTATTTTACATATATTAATTGTTATAACAATCCTGTGAGGTATAAGAATTATTGGTATCCCACTTTATAGATGAGGAAACTCAAGCACAGAGAGGTTAAGTAACTTCCTCAAGGTCACACAAGTGATTGAACTAGAATTTAGTACCAGGCAGTCTAACCCCAGAATTGGTAATATGTATGGAAGATAATGTGTATGAGAGCATTTTTGCCGTTTTAAAAAGCCATGCTAATATTAAGTATTAATACTTTAAAATGATATTTTAAAAGGTATTTTCTTCATCTTTATACAGATAGCGAGAAAAGACAAAAATAAGCGAGAAGATAATATCTTTTTTATGATTTGTACTAACTAATCTGGTAAATAGGGAACGGTACTCAAAATTATGGAGGGATAAATCACTGAATGATGCCAATACTTTGCATTTTAACTTAACCTTTCCAGACTTGAAAGAGAAAGAGACATTAAATGCTCTTCTTTTCCTACTGAATTTTTTAACTTAGTTTCTGCAAACAAAATAAAATACCTGTTCCCTTTGCTAACGTAGTGTGCTTGGAGCTCTAACGATCTGACTGGTCTTCAGTTTAGTATGACATTTTCTCAGTTAAACTGGTATGTAAGTAACTTTCCCCTCTAGGCTACTTATGAATCCAAATGAGTTTTCATTTTCGCTCTAGTCTGTTTGTCAGAGATTTTTGAAGAAGTTCTGAGAAGCTCTTTTTAAAGAGTGCTGAGGGTGTTGAGATTAATTGGGGCTGGAACCCAAGGTCCCTCCTTCTCTCCAGTTCTTACTGGATCCCCTATGGACACATAAATTTTGGCTAGCATACTTGGCTTTTGCCTGTTTTATTTATTTATATTTCCAGATACGATCTTTGGAGAAGCAATACTCTGCAGGAAAAAAGATGTATGTACACCATTTTTTATACAACCTGGTTTTTTAGACTTGCTGCTGGATTACCAAATGATACACACCCTGACTTTCAGTTCAGGAAGTATAGTCGATAGACCTTAAAATAAGATAATACAAATTAAACTGTATCCAAGGTCACATGTACCTTAGAACCTTGGGGTTTTCTAAACTAAATGCCAACAGGCACCAGCTGTCCCAGAGCTCAAATCCCCTTTGTTTCTCTGAAGAATACAAAATGTAGTCTCTGATCTTTGTCAATCAGATGCCATTATGATAAGATCATTTATGCCATCTCTTTTATACTATAGATTGGTTAAATTAAAAAGTGCAGGGTTCTGGGGTAGCATTTTAAAAATAATTATGAGCTGCAAATAACTTTGTTTTGGGGGGTTATTTTTCTATTTTGGGGACTGCAAATAGTCTGACAATGAGTCTTTTGTGTCCCAAATTCTTTATACACACTAAAGGCCTTTTATTATTTTTTAAATAAAATGTTCTGCAGAATGACTAATAGAATATGAACAGTGCTTGCAACACTGTAGTCCATTGTGTAAGTGTTGAGAGTAAAATTTGCATTCCTAGAAAAGGTTTTTCACAGTCAGGGTACAGAACGCATTCTTTAATGTCCTTCGGCAAATGTGCTATGTGTGTGCTCAGGACATTACTATGGAGTATACTTTCCATGGAGTACTGATGAAAAATGAAATTGGAGTGAAGCGGTTTAAATAAGGCAAGTGGTCTAGACCTTATTGTAATGACTGTGGTCAGTAATGACTGTAAATTAGAGAAAT